AAAAAAAAAAAAACTGTCAATCAAACTAAAAGAAACAAACAACTACATACCTAACAATAAAGGCATCAAGCATACCCCGAGCTCTTCACTATGTGAAGCTAGAAGCTAGCTAAAATCACACAACACATGAACCATTAAACCAAGAACCATCAACCCAAGCAACAAGTGACCACTGAACCCCCCGAGACCTAGTTACTAACCAACTTGGAGTTTACTAGTTCAATCCACCATGCACACAAGCAAATTCATGTCAGTCTCTCAGGGCAGCTCTAACAACAACACTTTTAGGTATAAGGATGTTATGAAACTTCCACAAGTTCCTTGCTTTCTATAACCACCATATAATGTAGGTAGACATTGGAATTCTTTATTCAGATATGACATTTCTTTCTAAGAGCAGACACTCCACCACCACTATTGGAATTTGCTTGAATCAACCCCTAAACAATCCCAAGAAAATTGGTGCTAGTTTACAGATTGTTTGAGCGTTGCAACAATGGAAGAATATATGTTCAACAGATTTAAAATCCTCACCACAGCTAAGGCATATAGGGTCTACTTCCACCCCTATGATTTTTAAGTTCTAGCTAGTTAGGACTTAGGAGAACATTATTATAGCATTTCCAGACGAAGTGCTTCAACTTGCCTTAACCTTCATTCCCCAGCTTCTTTTTCTAACCTTTTTTGTCTATCTCAACACTTGTACTACCTTCTGCCAGATCTAATTTCCTGATTTTTGCCTTGATGAGTGAAGGGTAAGGTCATTCTACAGTGCCCTTTAGAATAAATAGACCAAACCCATCTGTCTTTAAGTCCAGGATCAAGAGTTTTGGTTTTGAGTATGACCTTCTTGTCAGCGTCTCCAAATAGCTCCTTTAACAAATCAAAATTCCACCTCCTACCTCCTGACTCTAACAACTCTTTTACCCAAGGAATTGAAGTGTTTGGACTAGGTTTCAAAGTGGAAGTCCCCTTATCCACATTAGGTATCTGATACAACACTCAGAAGTAGCTCGGTAAAACGGTCTGAGTAGGTAGTTTGGTTAAGTCTGAGCTTGGAGAGCTCCCGTGTATAAAGTGGTACGATGCTCTGTCAAGTAGCTCAAATACGGGCTTAAGGTATTCAGCTAACAGAAAAGACATAATCTGGATGTGCCAACCTCTAGGAGCCCGAAAAAGTAACCGACCTCGAGGTATCAAGGTCGGGTGGTCTGAGGGCAGGATAGACTAAAAGACGAGGTTGCTCTAGACTTTAGGACAAGGTCAGCTACACTCTTAAGAAGGCCACGGCAGATACGTCAGGAAGTCGGATTCATAACATAAGGACTCATGAGCTAAAACAGTAAAAATGGGGGAAGAATCCAAGTAAGAAAGAGAGAATTGCTCGCTCAAAGACTCTTACCAAGATAAAGACATGGTAAGTTAGAGAAGCAAAATATGGTTGGATCTCTTTCTTAACAAGAACTCTCTCTGTCTCTAAGGTATCAGCCTTAGATAAGGGAAACATGTTCCCTTTCATCACACACATTCTACGCCTTTATTTTCTTAAGTATACAACTTGCGCGCGTTCTGACTTGAATGCTAGAGAGTTTTTCGTCGAGACCCCCTCCCAGCGTATTGCAGGTCGCGAAGCTCAAGGAAGAGGATCGTTCGAGGCGTAAGGTGTTCAAATACATTTGTAACTCAAAGTGACGTAACAGTATCCAAGGGTGAACCCACACTCTAGTAGACTTACCATCTCTTACCTCAAGTTTGAAACTCTGTTTGAATTTATCTCCTACACGCAGTCAGTTAGACCATAGCCAAGAAGCACTAGAAGCTTTCGATTAAGAAAATAGTTTAAAAGTAGATTTGTCTTTGACAGGGTTCTCCAAATTTTCTTAAATATGAGCGTTTCATTAAACGTTTTAAATTCCTTAAAGCCAATCCTTCTATCTCCTTTGGCATGGTGATAAGGTTTCATGCCTTCTAGTGCATACCTAGCTTATGCTCTTCCACCTTTTCTCAACCAGAAGCCAACACTAAATCTTGCTATTTCCCTGCAAACTCCTTTAGGTAAACAGAAATAGGACATAGATAAGTTAGACATGACATCAATGGCAGTTTTTATCAACACTTTTTTCCCAGCTCTTGAGAGGAATCTCTTACTCCAATTAATCAGCTTATGTCTCAGAGCATCTAACACAAATTCAAAAGCTTCCTTTTTAGATCTTCCAATACCAAAAGGAAGTCCTAGGTATCTAATTGAATTGTGAACTTGAATCCATTGCAAAATTAATCAAATGTTTTGTTGCAGACTCCTTTGTGTACTTTTACTAAAAACTATTGAGGATTTGACTAGATTCACTCTTTGGCCAGTGAATCATTTAAATGTGGACAAAGACAGAATTAAATGAGCCTGATGACAATCAACCACACTGAGCACCATTGAATCATCAACAAACATAAGTGATATATTTGGGGTCTTTATCAAGATATTTTCGCCCTTTGAAAGTATCCCTCACAGTGTCAACATTCAAGCACCTTCAGAAATTTTCGAGACTAGGATAAAATGATAAGGGGGAAGTAATGAAGTTGAAATAAATTATTAGTTAAATTATCATTTATTTATAATATTACATTATTTTATTTTTAATACTATAATTTTTTCTAATAGATATAAAAGAGAATATTTAGAAAATACTTATTTTGTGCATCATTTAAAGTGAAATTGTTGCGTGATATCATAATAAAATGTCTTTAAATGTTTAGGAACATGTTTTATACGTTGAATGAAAAGCCAAAGAAAATTCAATTTTGACTTAGAAAAATTGGGCGGAAAAAGCTTATAAAAAATAGCTGTTAGTAGTTGTATTATTAAGACTGAAAATAAATAGAAACATTCTGAAAGGTCAAAGACAAAAATCTCTTCGTAAAAGCAACGTACCTCATGTATATACTAACTTTATTATATATTTATTTATATTTATATATAAATATAATATTAATATAATACTCCATAATATGATATAATTCCCTTTATTATTGAGATAAAAACCTCGAGCAAAGGTCAAAAACCGATGAATACAATCACAAAGTTACAAAATAAACAGCAAAGGTCAGCTCACGTCTCTCCATGGACCATTCTTCTGGTGTTATTCAACCTCCCTCTTTCTCTCTCATGGCCGCCATGAAGAACAGTGGAGCAATCTTCTTCTTACCCATTTAGTTACATACTAATAACAGATCTTCTTCAACACGAACCACATCCAGCTCCCCCCTTTTGTTCTCCTTCTTGATTTGCGTGCTTGACTCAGTTTGAATCTCCATTTTTCTCGTTCAAAGAGAAGGGGGCTAATTTTCTATTCACCAATTCTTGTTTCGAAAAGATCCCTTTTCTTGAATTGAAAATTCTCTGCAATTTCGTCGTTTTCTTCGTTTATTTTATTCAAAAGGGTTTCGGAGAAAGTAGCTAGGTTTTCTTGTAGTAAAGACTGCCTTTTTCCCCCTTATTTAGTCTGCAAATTACAGGAATTGAAATGGGGAGTAAGTGGAGGAAAGTGAAAATGGCTTTTGGATTGAATCTGTGTGTGTACGGCCATAAGCATCTTGTTGCCGACAATGATGACGATGAGGACTCTCGCCCGCCGTCCGAGCGGCGGTCCGACGCGGCTCTGCTGTCGCCACCAGGGGACTCGACGTCTGCTCCGCCTACGCCGGGCTCCACTAAGCTGAGGTTTTCCAAAAGCTTGAGTAGATCTTCTTCTAAGGTTGATTATTTTTCTCTTTACTTTTTGTTTTTTATTTTAATCTCTTTGGCTGTGTTTATGTGAGCTTTTTTATGAATATTTTTGGGTAGTTTGTTAAACAAAAAAAAAGTGATAGGATTTGACTTTTAGTTACTTGCTAGATTAAAAAAAATGGTGAGCTTTTGTTACTTGCTAGATTAAAATGGAGACCTTGCTGGTGTTTTTATCTCTATATATTTCTTGGGGATCTGATAATTTCCTTTCTGTATGTGACTTATGTGTTTCTATATATAATAAAAAAGGAGTATAATCGATAGGTTTAATGAAACTGCAGCTTTTTTCGACTCGTTTTGTTTCCGTTTGTGTGATGTAATTTGAAGTTCGTAGCTAGAGCTCGTCTAAACGAGAATGAATCTGTTTCACCATTGCTTTTGTGCCTGCTATTGGGGTTTTGGCTCTGCTCGTCATCACTTACAATTGTGTAAGGCGGTCAGACAAGGATGGTTTGAGCCCCCTTATCAAATTTTATTGTTGTTATGTTAATTTATGTCTCATCAAGCTAAAGCATTTATTTCATTCAACTATCTTGTATTGTCTACATTTGTAATCCCAGTCTTTGTCATGTTTAACCTCTTATCTTCCTGATTGTCGTTATGTTTAGACTGCTCAAATCGACGAGGGACGTTATTTATCGTCTTCTCGAGAGCAGATCCATGTTACATCGTTCTTCAGAGTTCTGTACTGCTGATTTCAAACTTAGTTGACTGTTTAGCTCTTTTCCTTTGTGCTTGGAGTTAAATATTCTGTTGATAAACAGTTTTCATCTCTTAAAGTAAATCTAAAATATTAGTCAGCCTGAAGTACAACACTTAATTTACATTTTTTTTTCTCCTTTTTGACATATTTTTTTTTCCCATTGTTAGAAAACCTGCTCGATATGCTTGGCATCTATGAAACGAGGGGACGGTCAGGCTATATTTACCGCCGAGTGCTCACACTCATTTCACTTCCATTGTATCGCCTCGAACGTGAAGCATGGTAACCAAAACTGCCCCATCTGCCGAGCAAAATGGATCGAAATTCCATTTCAGGGACCCACTGGAAAATCCAGGATAAATCCACTCGACTCGGCTCACAATGACCTAAATACCCTCATCCGCCGGCTGCCTCCCGCTGCCCCTATGAATTCCAGTCGAAACGCAGTGCCGCCGCTATTTCAGGCCCCCGAGCCCACAGTCTTCAACGACGATGAGCCTGTCGACCACTTAACCGACCCGCCCAACGAGCGGGCCCTCCCATATACAAACCCCACCGATTCTCACGACCAAAGAAAGGTCGACATAAAAACGTACACGGAAGTCTCATCCGTTCCGAAAGCCATCTCTGTCGATAGCTTCTCCGTCCTGATCCACCTGAGGGCATCGAGGATCAGCCGAACCCCGCGGGTCCCTGTCGACCTCGTCACAGTCCTCGACACGAGCGGGAGCATGTCCGGCACAAAGCTAGCACTTTTGAAACGGGCCATGGGTTTCTTAATCCAGAACCTCGGCCCGAACGACAGGCTGGCGGTTGTTGCCTTCTCCTCCACCGCCCGCCGCCTCTTCCCCCTTCGCCGGATGTCGGAGTCCGGGCGACAGCTGTCGCTCCAGGCCGTGAATTCGCTCGTCGCTGGCGGTGGGACCAACATAGCCGAGGGCCTGAGGAAGGGAGCCAAGGTGATGGAGGATCGAAGAAAAACGAATCCCGTTTCGAGCATAATTCTCCTGTCTGACGGTCAGGACACGTACACAGTCAACGGGCCCACCGGGCGAAGCCCGAACAAGCCCGACTACAGGCTCCTTCTTCCGTCTTCCATTCTCCCAGTCCACGCATTTGGGTTCGGCGCAGATCACGATGCCTCGTCCATGCACTCGATCTCCGAGATGTCGGGAGGGACTTTCTCGTTCATCGAGACGGAGGGTGTAATACAGGACGCGTTCGCGCAGTGCATCGGTGGGCTCCTGAGCGTGGTCGTCAAGGATTTGCGCGTCTCGGTCGAGTGCGTCGATCCGGATATCCGTCTCGGGACGATAAAATCCGGGAGCTACCCGACCCTTGTTGAACCCAATCGACGTTCGGGATCGATCGATGTGGGAGACCTTTACGCTGACGAGGAACGCGATTTTCTTGTCTCGGTGAATCTTCCCGCCGAAAATTCTGGCGAGTTGATGAACGTGACGTGCGTTTACAACGAGCCCTTGGCGAACGAGTCGGTGACTTTAGAGTGCGAATGCGTTCGAGTCGAGCGCACGGTGGCAGGCCGAACTCCCGAGCATGAGGTGGTTTCGATTGAGGTCGACAGGCAGAAGAACAGAGTACAGGCGACCGAGGCCATGGCTCGGGCTCGTGCAGCGGCCGAGAACGGTGACCTGGCGGGTGCCTCCTCAGTGCTCGAGAGCGTCCGGGCTATGCTGTTGGGGAGTGCTTCGGGTAAGGCGCGGGACCCGCTGTGTTTGGCGCTGGATGCGGAGCTGAAGGAAATGCAAGAGAAGGTGGCGAGCCGGCAAGTGTACGAGGCGTCCGGGAGGGCTTATATTTTGTCGGGCCTGAGCTCGCATTCGTGGCAGAGGGCCACAACGAGGGGGGACTCGGTGGAAGTATCGTCAGGCTCAGGCCGCCTTTTGGGTGGTGCTTACCAGACGCCATTGATGGCGGAGATGGTGACCCGTTCGCAGGCGAGTCTGTCGGTCCAGAGGCTTCTGAGGCCCGTTTGGTCGTTTGGCTCTCAAGCGAAGCTGAGGTGAGTGATGAATATGGGTTCATAGTGATATGCTTAACCTTTTTTTTTTTTTTTGAAGGAATAAATGTGGGGAGTAAATGATGCAATATATATATATATGTTTTGGGGAAGGAATTGGGAAGGGTTTTTAGTCAGGGGTTAAGATAGCAGCAACTCTTTTGTTTGTTTGTTAGTTGTGTGATGGTTTGGTGGGGGTGATGTAGATAAGTGTAAGGGGGTATATGGTTTTTTGAGGTAAAAATTGAGTAAACAGTTTGTAATTGTTGGGATGATACTGCTGTTTAGTGAACTCAACTGTGTGTCCACCTTTTGATGTAAGAATTGCAATATGATTTTGTCACTTTTATGCTTTCTTTCGCAACAATGTACTTTTCATAGGGAGATACTACGGTACTGTTACGGAACCATTTCGTCGAGGTTTGTAATCGTAAGATCCGACGGTTACATGATAATCTAACGGTGACAAATTCCGACGGAATGTGTAGCATTTCCCTTTTAATAACAGAAGCCCAGCAGACGCGCACAGTCACGGCTGAACACCTCGTCTGAAAATTCAAGGAAAAGGCAAAGGCTTTTGTATCTTTACAGTGGATCACCAGTTGACTTGAACAAATTCATGAAAGAAAAGTTGACCTCAACATTTCAGGAGGCACATGCCAAAAGCTAAGGTGCGACGTGATATGTTTTTCATTCTAAGACTACAGTCAGTAATTTTTGCACGAAAATCAACTCGACAACAAGTGACGGGCTCTTATTCAAATGCGAACAACTCTTGGTCACCAATGCCTAGAGCCACAGTCCGGATCAATTCGATCCAGCCTAAGTTGTTCGAAATCTGTAATCGACGAGTGACTGGCCTGCTTTAAAGCCTTAATCATGTCAGATTCTGAATAAATTCACCACTCATTCGATAAAGATAAGAAATGCCACAGTCTTGTTGATTTAATATGATTTATGTGCTGCAAGTGGTGTCAATTTCAAAATCGCTGCGCGGGTTATGTTTTGAAAAATTCATGTGGTGCTTCCGAAAATAAAATTTATCTTTTTAATGATTGTTTCAATGAATTATGTGGGTTGAATTGATCTAAGTGTTTTTTATATGAATCGTATATGACATGAGTTAGTTAGTGCATGGGTCAGATAGTTATTGATAGAGTCCTCTTAATTATTATAGGTGTTTGACGAGCCGAGCTCTCAACCTACTCGTATTTTTGTGATATATGTTGCTTCAAACCAGGTGGGTTATTTAAAATTTCTATGACGTATGTGTTTTTATATATGTTGGGTTGGTATGATCAAAGATATGCATGTGAACCATGTAGCGTATCGGCGTGAGCTGTTTCGGCCGTATCTTTTCTTCCCGACTTTATCGTTCGTTGTACCTAGCCTCCAAAGGTATCTAAATATCTGAAAAAACTTCTCCAAAAATGTGTTCGAGTGTTTTTTAAATATTGTGGAAAGTGGTGTTCAGGTGTCGGAAGTGGTCGGAAGTAGTGTTCAGGTGTCTTTCACGCCGTTTCGGCCGTATCTTTTCTTCCTGACTTTATCGTTCGTTGTACCTAGCCTCCAAAGGTATCTAAATATTTGAAAAACTTCTCCAAAAATGTGTTTGAGTGTTTTATAAATATTGTGGGAAGTGGTGTTCAGGTGTCGGAAGTGGTGTTCAGGTGTGTTGAACGGTTGTCAACTGGCGGTTTCCAGCAGCAGTCTTCTGGCCAACTCCTCCACTAGGGAGAAGCCACCCATGGGCTAGGGTGAACTCTAGCCAGCCCATGTAAAAAAAAATAAAAAAAAATATATATATTTTAAACTATCGGTTGTGTAGTCCCATCTAATTTTATACCTAGGCCACTAATCCCATCTAATTTTTTTCTCAAGTCCACAAGCAACACAAAAAATTTACAAAACCTATTCATTTTAGAGAAAATTGCCTACACAAGACATATCACTTTTTATAACACAAATAAAAAACATTTGTCAATATTAGCAATATATCAAAAAGTCATGTTTTTATTTACAGATGTACTATAGAAATTATTATATTTGTTATTGACTAATTTAAATATTAATTACCTAAATTTATGGGAAATGTTTTCTTTTCCAAATACCAAAACTTTCAAGCAAAACAAACCATGGCAAAAAACCAAAACTGAACGAAGTCCTTACAGCGGAGCCAATCAGAGGAGATCGAGATCGCATCTCAGTATGATATGTATGTGTATATAAAAATTATTTTCATACTCCTTCATTTTCTAATCAAACAAGATTTACCTTCAAATTGAGTAATACAATTTTACATCATCTCTCATTCCTCGAGTTCGCATCTTAGTATATGATATGTATGTGTATATAAATATTATTTTCATACTCCTTCATTTTCAAATCAAATAAAATTTACCTTCAAATTGAGTAATACAATTCTACATGCATACCTAAGTAGCCAAAAAATATCACACGAAAATTCTATCACACTCAATACCTAAATTTATTATTTCCACGTCACCATCACCTTATTAAAATAAAAATAAATAAATAAATAAAACAAAAACCACATGTCTTACCCAATTTTCCGAACCACCTCACATGGGTTATGCACACACCACACATGCACTGATTAATTTTGAATATTGACCACAACATTCGATAAATCCAAATATGCAGTTGATTTAATTACTATCTTATATTTTATGGGCTATTTTGCATCTTTTTCATCCTTCAATCATGCATGAAAGTGCTGAAAAATGTAAGAATTACAGCCTTGATTTAAGCTAAGATGTTGACATTTGAATATGTTCCAGCAATCTTTCGTATTATAGTTCGAATTTGATTGATTATGAAAAAAGTCAGTTTGTGTTATATATATTTGTTTTCTGTTAAGTGGCCGTGCT